CAGTAGAATAACAATGTTTGGAGAATATCATCAATATAGCTATCAATGAGAACGTATTTGCTGGACACGCAACCAATCTAGCAATGAGTCAGAAACTTCGTTGTAAAGAAAAGATTTTTATAATATGAAGAAGAGATGCACATAGCACTCGTTAAAGAAAATAAATACCTTTAAAATAAAAAAATATTATGATAAAATATCAAATATACAACGTTTTGGAAACTATAACAAAACAAACGAAAACCGATATTAAGAAATTGCGATCGAATTTTTCATTTTCTTTCGCATTTCCTGATTGGTTATACCAGTGCTTCCTAAAGTGGGCGATATCACCCCCTGCCGGCGTTTGTATTATCCAAGGGCCGTGAGGCGTGATAGACTCTGTCGCCTCTAGAGGATTTGATCCCGGGATCTCGAAAATCGGGATCCCGGGATTCCGACTACTTTTCAGTCCCAAAATTTTCGGGATTAAGTTTTCCTAATCCCGAGATTTTCGGGATTGACATCATTTTAAAAAAGTTGCAAANTTAAATTAAAATTCAGACATTATAATAACTTTCACGACTAATTATTTAACAAATAAAATTTAAAAGGTTTGTTCTAAGAGCGATTTGAATTTGAACATAATTGCCACATAAACGAACGTTTCACCAATAAGGACGGTTCGAATAGAGCCGGCGATATATACATAGATGCAGATAGATAGATAATTCTTCATAGAATATATAAAACGTCATCGAATTATGCAGTGAAATTAAGTAAGAATTTAAAAAATTAGATGTAGAGAATAATATTTTTTTTTGGAATATCGATAATCCTCTGTTAAATATGAAGTATTAAAATATATAATTAGGCATGAGATGATTGGATGCAAAATTAAAGGTCAAAGAAACGAAACAATATTATGCAAATTACAGCTGCATGATTTTTTGAGGTTATTCAAACAATCTTCTAAAATTTAAAATTATTATTGAAGAAATAAAGTAAACATATTTGAAAGATTACAATGTTAATAACAGTTTACGCTTAAAAGTTCCATTTGTGATCTTACGCTAAAATTAAGAAATAAATTATGTGTATGTCTTCGTTTTTATATAATTATATTTTTTTATTTTATAAAACTAAATTTTTTGATTAACTACTGTATTTATGTTTTAACGTTTGAGTAAATTGAATCAATAATAATAATTTTATTGTGTGAATATAATTTACAGAAATTTCAACGTTTCAACCTTTCAAAATTAATTCAGTTCCTGAATTAAGGTTCTCAATTTGAATTAATGAATAACGTGCTGATTCAATAAAATTTATTTATAGTACTGTGCATTCATACAGGTATAATATATAATAATTTTTTAAGTTTAGTAAATAAGTTGAGATTTGATATTTGATTTGCTCTCCGGGCATCGTTTGTTCAACAAAAATTTATTTATTTATTCAGATTAAGAGATTTGAATTTATTTTTAAATAAATATATTAAAGTTGTTTACTAAATTCTTTTAAACTTAACTGTGGCACGATTAGATTGCTGATAAATTTTAACCCACTAGTAGAAAAATGAATAAAACCACTGAATAGTGGTAATCAAGCGCAAAACCGTTGGTCAAAACCCTACCAGTCGTAGGTTCGCGCTTGATTAACGGTTACTCGTATAGTTTTCTAGATTTTTTACATATTTAGCAACTAAATAAGAATCGATCTCCCATAGAAATCCTTTCAGAAAACACATCCTCTTTAGCTCATGTAAGTTTACTCATGTTACATTGTTTTATTTCGTCTGTCCAATCAAATCTTATTAATTGCATTAAACGATTGAGTTAAATTACTACTGCTATTTAAACTACTAATAGATTAACTTTGTGCTTTGCATGCACATAAGTGTGAATTTAATCGGTTTATCAGGTTTCTTAAAAATAAAGATCCTCATCGTGGGAAAAAAGTCTATTGTCGTATATTGACATTTCACGTAAATAAAATTATACACAATAAATAATCGTAATTAAAGTACTACTATTCAATAGTGTCTAGAAACACATTTAGCGTCAATGTAACCAAATCTGGTATCGTGACTTCTCAGGACGTGCAGAAGACCTTTCTTTAAAAATTTAGTACTGAAACTCTCACTGATACTTGGATTGCTGCAATTAACAAACGTTTTGTTTGTATAAAACACTTATATAGAGACGTTAGCAATGCAGACAATACTACTCATTATAGTTTTCATTCTGAAGGTGTAAAATCTAAAGGCGATGAACAGTCTGTTCAACGGCAGACCGTAATTGATCCTCTGTGATGCTTTGTGATACTGTCTTTCGAGGCTGCTATATTTGCAACATAACCTCGATAAACCACAAACTTTATGTGTCCTCACACAGATTTAAGATTCAAAGGCCTGCTGAATCTTAATCCGAATCTTAAACAATGAATTTGGACTGCTAAATATTTGTTTACACAACGTTGGATAAGTCTACTTTAATTACTATCACAAGATATTTCATTTCATTTGTCTGACTTTTTAAATTGTAAATATAATGGAAACGCACTAAACTAAAAAAAATTTGATAGTTGACCACTGTATCATTTTCAGTTTTCATTGAAGAGATATGTAATTTATTGAATTACATTTAATATTACTTGAGATTTTAAAAATATTAGTCGTAATTACAATATTAAATTTAAACAATAATTTAATTAACTTATTAACGAAAACAAAGCTTAAATTTATTCAATTACATAATGAATTATCTATTTAAATTAATATATTTAATTTATTAAATATATAGTAATTTAATAAAGCATATTGTTCAATTATTCAGATTAATTTTGATTTCAAAAACAGATGTTATCTTATTGTTCGTTAAAGAAAACAAAGTTGGAGCAATTTTCATGAAATGAAAAGCAGTTTCGGTTTATTTAATTGATATGAAGTCTTAGTTCTGTACAGCACGGTGCTATAATAGTAAAATATACAAAGTTAGAAATTATTTAACAGATTTTTAGTTAATTTAAGTTAATTTTAGTCAGTTTTAAGTTAGTTAATAAAGTTACTTTTTAGTCATTTAAAGTTAATTTAATAAAAATAATTCATACGAAATTATTTAGCAGATTACATTCAAGTAAATACGAGATAAATATTATACAAAATTCATGTATTTACGTAGGAGTTTCAATAGAATAAATTAATTAACAACAAATAAATAAATAAATGCAAATGCGTGGAAAACTTATTTTATATCTTATCTTAAAAACTGAGAAAAAAATACATATTTACAACGGAAATATAACTCGGATACAGTAAAATGACAGAGCAAAATAAATGTAAACGATATATATATTGAACTCGTTTACTGATTTGTGTATTAACAAATGAAATATTAACTCAAATTAATTGAAATGGTCCATTAAGAATTAAAAAGTGCAAATTTAATCAAAACATATTTACGTATTGTCTTGATAACAGAGTACNTTAAGAGAGATTTTTGTTAATTTTCAACGTTTATTTGCATAGTTTGTTACATAAAGGTTTTTTCAATTTATGTGAGTTTAAAGAGATCTCAGTGATGCTTAAAAAAGAATAAATTTAACATGAAGACTGAGTGATTTTAAGTCTGGTTAGTCTGACTCTGAGTCTGATTAGTTAGAGTGATTAAATTAGCTAGGTGTATACTGTAAAATATGTTGATTTTTGTCTAAATTTTGATTTGTTGATTTCTGTAAGATTTTCTTATTTTTTATTAACCCTCAATACCGAAATAATCCCGGGATCCCGGGATTGACTAAGTATAATCCCGAAATCCCGGGATTAGAAATAAGGACCGGGATCGAATTCCCTAGTCGCCTCCTATCCCTGTTCTGTTTACACAGGGGCTGTTCTATTTACCAGAGGGTGGTAATTGAAAAAAGTTTGAGAAGCACTGGGCTGTACTATTCAAATTGCCAAACAAACAGTAATATGATTAAACGGCAATACTGCAATTAACAGCAATAATATTCATTCCTACATTTAATATCACACTTCACCAACGAGCTGACCACTTGGAGATTTCTGGGTTTTCTTCACGTGTCACTTAAATAAGAGCCAGTTTTCTATCATACATCCTTCAGGGAGACATTTCCCTTAACAGACGCCCAAGTGTTGCGTTGCCGTATCCCATTAATCCAAATCGATCTATTAATATAATTTACGGAGAATAGGAGAAAAAGCTCCTCAAGTTTTTCGTCTATATTTTTGTCCAAATTAAAATTCAGTTAGCCTAATTAATTTTTATAATAAATATTTTAAAGTGACGTATTTCACTATTTAAACGATTGATGTATAATTCAAATTTTTGAAATTATTTCAAATATTTTCAAATTTTCAAAAATTTCAAAAATTTTTATTGTGTTTATTTTGTTATATAAACTCACAAAAGCAAGTAAACAATTTTTCCAAATCATGTTTCTATCCAACTCTTTTATGTCTTAAAATATAGAATTAATAAATAAAATAAACTTCAAGAGAAATAAACAAAATAATTTTTCTCTGCTAAAGTGTGAATATTTTAAATTATGAAAATTGTAATACAAATCATTACTAAGCCAAAAACATAAATAAAAAAACCTAATCATAAAAATTACAAATCTATAATTATGTTTGCACCTTATTTCTTAATTAAAATAAATTATAATAAGTAATTCATCTTAACAACAAATTATAAAATAATGTTTTACTTAAAACGCTCCCCTGCGGGCTGTGATTAAATCTAGGGGACGATTATTTGTTTGTTTGTTAAGTTATAGAAACGCAACACTTGGACGATCTGCCTAGGAGAGATGCCTTCCAGGAGGTCTTTTTAAGGGAAACTGGTTCCTATTTAGACGTTACAGACGTGGAGAAAACCCGGAAAACTCCACGTGGCCAGCCCGTCCGAGCGAGGCGCGAACGCACGACCGAACTTCCAGTGTTTAGGGTATGAAGACTGCTTGACCACTGGTGGCGTCTAGGGGACGAAAAGAAACAAATGGGTGACAGAGGTGCTGGAGGTAGGATACTGAACGGTGACCATAGGAAAAGGTTGTGGTAACTGACAGCCTTTCCCTTTCCTCTATTAAACGGATAAGAAGAAACATTACATTTAATGATTTCCAGATGCTGAGAACAATTCGTTCGAGACTGCATACTATTAATACAAAAAGACTTACTAAGAAACCTTATCTTGCAGCCGAAGTTTATTACTTCAAACGTTTTCGGTCATGTTAAATGACCTTTCTCAAGAAAAAGAAATAAGAGAAAGCAAAATAAAAGATAAAAAACTGTATAAATCGAACGCTTAGTACAAACGAACAAGCTTTTCGAATATTTTTGAACTAGCCTATAATCCGTTGCAATTTATGACGTCATTTTTAACTTTGCAACGAAAGTATAAAAATTCCTAAAGATTACATAAATATCTAAAAATCATAAGTACAGAGAGCATTACGCGGAAGCCTGGCAGATTTGTAAAGCAAACAATAAAGGCCTTGCAATCAACTTTCGAGAATCGACAAAAATATCGGCAGCAGGGCCCTCTAGCTTAATTATAAACCTTAATAATCGAAGGAAGCAGATACTATGCATCTTTATATCTTAAGCTATGTATTTATGCGCGATGATCGGAGGTGGTAACTCTCTGTACTTATGATTTTTAGATATTTATGTAATCTTTAGGATTTTTTATACTTCCGTTGCAAAGTTAAAAATGACGTCATAAATTGCAACGGATTATAGGCTAGTTCAAAAATATTCGAAAAGCTTGTTCGTTTGTACTAAGCGTTCGATTTATACAGTTTTTTTTATCTTTTATTTTGCTTTCTCTTATTTATTTTTCTTGAGAAAGGTCATTTAACATGACCGAAAACGTTCGAAGTAATAAACTTCGGCTGCAAGATAAGCTGTCTTAGTAAGTATTTTGGTTGAGAACAATATACGGTAAGGACACAAAGTGTGAGGTTCATAGAAAAGTTTCCCTAAGAATATTTCCAAGCCTTTCTCACACAAGTGCAAATGGGTTAGGGGCGTTGAGGTACGGTTTGGGGGAGTTACCGTGTTTCCCCGAAAATAAGACAGTGTCTTATATTAATTTTTGCTCTGAAAAATGCGCTAGATCTTATTTTCAGGGAATGTCTTATTTTATCCAGGAAGAATTCACATTTATTATTGAACAAAAAAATTCCCAAGTCGAACTTAGACGAGAGTGACGTTTATCCGGTGTGCCGAACTGTCACCCTTTTATAGCGTCAACATCGGACTCGATGACCAATTAATGCTTACTTGAACCGTAGCACTATGCAAATGTAATGTGGCATGATTCCTGGCCGACCAATTAGCCATCACCAGCCGTAACGTTATGCAAATCTGTGATTCCCAAGCCATAGTCTTATGCAAATCATGCCGTGTGGCGTAATTGTCTGCTGACCAATCAGTGGCTGTGCTTTCAAAGAGCCAACGGCCACTTTCAACCATCTGTCGATGATCGTTACGACTAAAAAAAACTTCGCTAGGTCTTACTTTCAGGGGGAGGTCTTATATTTCGCAATTCAGCAAAATCTGTGCTAGGTCTTATTTTCTGCGGATGTCTTATTTTCGGGGAAACACGGTAGGTATAACTTTATGGAACAAAGGACGGTGGATCGAAAAAGTTTGGGAATCACTGCTGTAGATCTTGATGCACTTTGAAAGTAAATAAAGCTGTTGGCATGATTAGGCAATGCACAAGGAGAAGGCTTGAAGAGAAATGTATGCGTTGTTAATAAGCAGATTGATTGATAACTTGAATGTCAACTATGTCATGGTTGGCTTCGTCTACTCTTACTCCCATGCTGATAGGATGGCCTAGGAGCTTAAAATAGTAGCCTACCGTCTGGGGAGCCAGGAACAAACCCGAGAGATCGAAAACTTCTAGAAATTTTTCAGGAAGTCTGTTCCGAATATTTATTTCAGCTTCGTCTCTTATCACCTGGCCGCCACGTTTTGATCCTAACCGAACCCATGACGGGCATGAAAAAGACATTTTATTACCCGCAAGGCGTAAAAACTCTTTACTCCCCAGTTAATTTCATTATTGGGAGAATAAAAAAGACTCAGAAACTACAGACAGAGATTCGAGACGTGTAGACTGCTTGAATAATACTGTAAAAGAAGTAAAAATAACTTTGGACAGACATTGTGAACAAGTAGACCGAAGCAGTAAATACCCCGAGGTAAAGAACAAAGGACTTTCAAAGAATGGCTACTCCATTGTCCAAGGAAACAATGGAGACTCCCCAGGAAAAAGCTCATATCGACAGCCAAATCCATCGATAATTTTGTCAAATAGCAACTCCTACCCGAAGGCACCGTCTAACGAAAAAGGAAGAAAAGAAGAAAAAAGATCAAATTCACAGCAAACCGTAGATAAGGTAAAATTAGATTTAAACCAGAACGGGAAAAATTAACAAAAGCACAGTGAATGCGGACATTATATGTTTCAATACATTTGGAAATACTGAGTGAATGTGGACATTATATGTTTCAATACATTTGGAAATACTGAGTGAATGTGGACATTATATGTTTCAATACATTTGAAATACTAAGATACAACCAGAATTTTGTTGAGGACTCTGCTTCTGATCACAAAGAAAAAGTAGACCTCAACGTCCTGAACGTGGAGATTATAGTCATCCCATCATCGTGCAAAACAAACTGTCAATTGCTAAAATGAACATAAACAGCCTAAATAACACCTATAAACAATCCGTTTATCAGTTATCTCTTATAGGACAAAATCGATATTGCCTAGATACAAAAATTAAAATTATGTCGCAATGCGAGTTTCAGCAGTTAATGTTTTGAATGTATTTGGTTTCAAGCGAGCTGAGAAGCAGAGAGAACGCCAATTTCATAAAATACGAGACAAATACACAGTGTAAACTCTATTATTCGAACTTAATGCGATAAATCTTTGAAATAAACGAAATTGCGGATGTTTTCATGTTTTGGTACATCAAGCACTGTCCATTTAAAGTTTCATAAACAATAGAGTAATGCAACTAAAATATTGAAAGATAAAGTAATTTACTCAAAATCTAACATAATGTTACGTATATGACCTAGTTTCGCGGCGCTAGAATCTACAGATGACGTTGAGATTTCTAATTACATAAAGAGTTTGGTCTTGTGCGTTAGTCTGTAATATGTACGCGAACAACACTACACTTTCTAGTTTTCTGTTTTGAATTTGCATACCGTTTCGGTTAATCCCATTTCCGCTGTTATATGTTATGATAGAATAACTTAGAGTATGGATAACATAAGGCATTATCTGATATTGAGATATCCAGCTCACTTGTAGGATCATGTCGGTGTATTATCCAGTGAGATATCCAAAAACTAGGTAGGGTCTTCATTTCTAACCTTCATATATACTTAGTTACTACGAAAAATATCTTAATAGATAATCATTTTTAATTTTATAGACGATTATCAAGATAGGATTGGTAGCACTTGCTATAAAAATGAAAACACTCGAACTTTTAGAGACTAATTCTAAGACTAACTCTAATCTGGTCAATATGACTTTACTTTTACAGTAACACATTTTCGGGTGGCTGACTACCCTTTTTTCTTCTTATCTCGTAAAATACGGCTAGTTTTCCGCATTGCAAGATTGGGCTATGACTAGCAAATTGAAATGTTTGTAGGACTCTAGGCCAGGTGTGGCGAACGTAAAGAGAAATCATCTGGCACGTAATGTATCATACGATTTCTGTCTTTTTGGTTTACCACCTGATCATCCTTTCTTCAATCAGCTTTTTTACATTTATTCTAATTAAAGCGTATTCGTTTAATTTCTTTAAATATCGTTATTCGAAGTCTGAAACTTTGGCACGCATAAACATCTTTAAAGCTAAGTATGCTTACAATATGGCATGCAAACACAAAAAGTCTCTGAAGAATAT